CCTGAGCTCGGAGCATCCTCAGTGTAGGGTAGCAGAGACTGTGACAACCCCAGTCACCAAGTATGAATCAAAATCCACTAGTTTCTCAGACGTACCCTAGGGTTGTTTCACACCGCAAACCGACAGAAATGATCTTATTCCCCTTACAGTTTAAAGAAGTAACACAGCTACGTGACTGGTCTGACTACAGCATTTTTCCCTAGGGACAGAAGTACCTTAAATCCCATATTGCTGCAAGGTACATATCACCTCTCAATCTCAATAAAACTTTCCAGCTATACTGTGCCAATACTTTTCTAGGTGGGACACATTTTATTAATTTTTAATTAAAAATGTATTTTCCATCTTAAGACTATTTGGTCTCACCCTCTCTCAACTCATTTACATTGGTGTAAGCCAGAAGTAGCTCAAAATTAATAGGATTATGCCAAATGTATGTCATATCTAAATCGGACCCATTCTAGTCATGTGTTTGACAAATCTTAGAGCAATTTCACAAGCTCATTTTTGGTTAACCATAAACAATTAGTATTAGAGACCATTTTCAGATTCTAAATTCATGTTTTACTCAAACGACTCGTATTAAAATAGAGTAACTAACCCCTCTGCAGCTCTTTCATATTTGTCCCTAACAGCCTATTGAAAACATAAAACTAAGGATGTCTGGTTAGAGCAAGATGTACATCCTCATCACAGGGGGCTTAGATAGCGCAAAGCACACTTAGAATATTTTGCAGCATTAGCAGATGTGTTAAAAAAAAAAAAATAATCACATTTTCAGACTGAACCGAATCCTCTTGAGCTAATGTAGGTTATTTCCCTGAAGTCAGGGGTCCCTATCAGCACTGCCTTTAATCTCTCCTGAGAGAAGGACATATATCCCTGAACATCATCTTAGCACTGGTGGGATAGGACTTAGCCAACTTGATGGGAATGGCAAGTTCCCCTCACAAAACGGTCCGTAGTCTGCGGCAGCGTACTGGGGACACAGAGAGACAGACAAGGGCAGGGTCACCCCTGGACAGGGATGCACATCACGTCAGTCCCAGAGCATGCCAGTTGCACCCTGGATAGGCAGCTGGCACGTATATATGTATATGGCACATTGGGCTGGTTCCTTCTCCATCAGCTCCTTCTGCAGGGATACAGTCCTGCCTTCACCAGAAGGTCCCAGCTCTGACCAGTCTGAAACTCGCTGGGTTTAGCAGACCAGAGTCCCTGTCCAAGACATCATCCGCTTTTGCTCCACTTTTGAAAAAAACCAAAAACAAACAAACAAACAAAAAACCCCACACCGAACCCACAGAAAACCCCAAACGTGTATTCCCACCTCCTCCTGAGCTCTGAACTCAGCAGAAGTCTGGAGCCAGAAGCTGCTGTTTTTCACGCTGTTACCCACGTGTTTTCCCCTCGTGGTCTGGCTTTGCAATTTAGGATGGACCAAACATACATTTTTTTCCCCCCAATCTCACTCCCAGGGCAGCAGAGATACCTGCCGAGGGAAGCTGGGAGTCCAACCCTACTGTGGGGGTACAGCCGGGTTCTGGCAGAGACACCAAATGCTGGAGCCTGCCCAGAGGTGAGCGGGTTTGGAGGGGACATTTCTGGTCCTCCCCAGGCATTTGGGCTGCGCAAGCAGGGGCTGTGGCACAAAGGCAAGCTTACACCAGCTCGTGAGTGAGGAAGAGGGAGTTTGGTATCGCAGGATTGTCCTCGGGACTTTACGCGTGCGAGGAGCAGAGTTGCTGTGACATTTAGTGGCTACGTTAGAAAGATGAGGAAACAAAGAAAAGAAAAAGATGTAGCTAACTCCCCCTTCCTAACGGTCCCCCGCTGCCCACGAGGTCCTGTTACTGCCAGCGAATGACCCAAAAAACCACACACCAAACCGGTCCTGAGCAAACATCAGTAGAGTTCCCCAATTCTGATGCGGTTGTCCTGTTTTGGCGAAACTAGGAGGTATGGGGGACGGTGGGAGAGGAACATAAAAAAGAAAATTAAAAAAAAAAAAAAGAGAAAAAAAAGAAAAGAGTAGAGACATTCCCCGGGGATCTGATGATAGCGTATTGAAGTTACTGGAAGGAGTCCCATTGATTGCAGTGCAGTTTGGGTCAGTCCCCCTGATACACCGCGGAGGTTCTGCAGTCCTTTGAACTCAATATTATTTCAATGAATCTATTAATGTTTGGCTGTGTTAAATGTATTATAATAATATTGCATTTGAAATAGAGTCACTTAAAATTCAAAACTATACAGCCTGGGCACAGGAAAAAAAAAAAAAAATGTGGTATGTGTTCAGTAAGATATTTGGTGTTGTGCAGCCGTTCTATAGAGTGCATTTAACTGTGTTTGGTGTATTATTCTTAACATGCATTCGCAGTAGACAGCAAAGCAGCAGTTATGGGGTATGCTGTGAATGCATATTAACAGCAGTACACATTTGCATATCATGGATCCATAATACAAAATGTGTAGTAAAATCCTTATGAAAAGTTATTATGCATGCACAGTAGAGGCTTTTTAAACCTTGATTTCTCAGCTATTTTGTTTCTCCATTATTTATTTGAAAATATTAAAAAGGTCAAATGATGGATTAAGAATCTGCAAAATTGTAATGTTACTACTAGAGAGGGAATGCTTCAACAAAAACTAATTCATTTATTTTGTTTTTAGTAGCAGTATAAAAGGCATTCAAAAATGCATTTTACAGTAGCATTTGAGTAGTTTAAAAACCCCACCTACTTCAACAATTAAAAAAAGGATGGAGAAAATATTTTTATAAAAATGTATTTTGGAGGATGGGTGATATAACTGGGAATTTTGATGGTCCTTCCCTTAACACAGAGCCACTACAGTGTCAACCTTTCCTTCAATTTCTCGTAATATTTTTAGTATGCATTGAAACAGGGTTTGGTTCCTCAGGACTTTGCATATTTAGATTATCGTGCATTGTATAATACTCTGAATATGCAAAATCCTTGAAAAGGTTGACAACCCTTAGGACCTTCCACAATATAAATCTTAATACAGAAACTCCTATTGAGAATAATGGGATTCTACCCTCTCCTCTGTTACACAGATTGTAATATTTGGGATAAAATGAGACGAACGTTATGAATAGTGCAACTCTTGCTCCATTTGAACAGTTGCCACAAGTTTTAACGTCTTTGTCACTTCAAATACATCTACCTTAAAAAAAAATCAAAATTAAAAAGAAAGAGGCCTGAGCTCCATAAAGAATGAATGACCTGATACATCTGACTTTGGTAAAAAAAAAAAAAAAAAAAAATAAAGTTTGGGGTGAGGGTTTTTTGGTTTTAGTTTTGTGGTTTTTATTTTTAATGAAAGGCTCTAAAAATCACGGAGCACATACACGTAGATGTACATAACACGCTCTCCCCACACACACATGCTGTTCTGCTGCTGCCTGATTTTTTGTTCCCCTCTCTAATCAAAAAATGCCCAAACAGATTTAAATGAAACTTTGTGAAAACAAAATAATTGGATCGGGGCTGAGAACATTAATGCCAAGCTTGGGCCCAACATGAATTAAAGCAGATGAGTTATAAACCCTTCAAAAACAGGATTTATAATGGAAACGCTGACACAGACCCATAACAATAGCAGCTCTGCCAGGGATTATTTTAATACTAAAAGCATACTCAGTCGCTCACTTTTTTAAATTAGAGATTACTTAGTCACTAAAAAGCAATGATATGCGATAATAATGAAAGCAAACTTTAAAAAAAAAAATGTTTCTAAGACGACACATCCTTCCCCCTGTAACTCTCTTGATATCGCTTATATGTGACACGCCACTCCTTAAATAAAAAACAACCCACAAACCCCAAACACACCAAGGTGGAGTTTGCCATAAGCTCCATGGCAAGGCTGAGCCGAGAGGCTTTGTCAGCTTCATTTAACAGTTTCTTGCCTGTGGAAAGAGACAAAAGGGTTAAGGGAGGAAGAGCAGGGAGTACAGGAGAGGCAGACGACGGGAGAAACGGGGGCACGACCAAAGGAGCAGCCAGGGAGGCAAATGGAAGAACAGGGGGAGAATTTTTAGGAGGAGGAAGAGCGCGTTTCCAAAGGAAATAACTCAGTTTTTAAAGAGGTTTCGGGGAAGCGTTTGCAAAAAGACCAGGCAGGCAGAGAAAATTTGGCAGAGGGGCGAAGGCTCCGAGCACCCCAAATTAGACCTGTGAGCGTGTCGCCCCACCAGGAGCGGGCGCACCCCGGGGTCGCGTCGCATCGTGCCGGGGCAGGACGGGGACCAGCGAGCCCCACCACCCGCTTCCCAAGAAAGGCATCGTTCGTTAAATCTTCGCAATGTACATCCAGTTCCCCACACATGCCTCTTTTCTTTCGGGAATGTCAAAAACCACCGAGGGGTGCGAGGGGAGGATTTCTTACAGCCGGCAGGTTTGCTCCTGTTATCCTGCGCCCTAGGGTAACACACTGTACTCAAAAAAAAAAACACCCACACCCCAAAAATCACTCCTAGCAGCTTCACACAAAAACTACTTTTTGTGACCCTGCTACGCGTTATAGCAGAGGCATTACTTTCCCCATTCCTGCCTTCCCTTCCTTGCCTTTTTTTTTTTTCCTGGGTACCAGGTGCACCGGAGGGACTCGGATCAATACAAGACAGCACTTTTCATATAAACAATACCGTATTAACAACCACAGGGCAGCCGTACCTGTAGGCAGGGACAGCACCAAATGTTGGCACATCTATCCGTGCAGCTAGACTGCTAAAAAGAAGCAGCTCCAGTGGAAATGCACCTACTGTATGTGAAATGCTGGTGCAGATTTTTTTTTTCCCTTTTTTTTTTTTTTTCTATCAGTCTAACCTTCTGTGTTGATACATGAATGCTGGTACCCACTTAGAGGGATGCCAGATGATCAGTGCAGAATGAAGGTCCCAGGAGAAAGGCTCACGTGGTTTTCTCTGCCCCGTGACGTCACTAGCAGATGGCATGGGTACCAGCTCTGGCAGTTGGCATCAATGTCACTTTTTAGAGATCAATGAGATAGTGCAGATATACAGAGATCTAGACTCCAGGAGACGATGCGACATTCAGACTGAAAAGATTTGGAAGGCAAAAAATGAAAACTGATTGTTGAATGAAATAAAAAGCTAAGGTAATACAAATAAAGATATATTTCAGTTGGTGCTGGGTGTGCATGCAAGTGTTTAAAGATACAGTATCATTGTCTTGTATTTTATGTATGCTATTTACTGTCTAATAACTCCTCCTAACATTTTATTCTTCTGATGAAATTGCATACTTTCATTGGTGTTATGTAATATTGCAAGTGTGTAGACGATACTGATAGACTTAGTTTTTGACTGGGGTTTTTGTTTAGTTTTGTTCTGTTAAAAAAAAAAGAAAAGTCCCTGCATTCGTTTTGCTTGTCTCTTTGAGGACCGTGGGATCCAAGCTTTTGCTGCTCCCAAAGTGCAAACAAAAGCAAAATAATTGGGGAAAAGGAAATTATTTTCCCATTCCAGGCTGGATTCTGAGCACACGTGCAGGATTGCAGTCAGAATCTACAGACCGCTCCTGTCAGCTACAAGCTGGAGGGAGACGTCTGAGCCTCGCAGAATATAAACACTGCTATAGCGTGCAGGGATTTTTTCACCTCCCCCCCAATCACAATTGATAGGGGAGGAAAAAATAAAAAAAAAAAAAAAAAAGAAAAAGAGGAAAAAACCAAATAAGTTGATTCTAACCAAAGAGATAGTATCAATTAGAATTTTTGCTGGGAAAAAAGGAAAAAAAAAGGTAGGGGGATTTTATTTCCTAACTCTCATCTGAATACATTCAGGGTTAGATCGTTCTGATTTTTGTCTTAATACGAAATAAGTAATATGTGATTTTCATACAAATCGTTAGAAAAAAATTCGTTTTTAGTTATCTTACTAGCTGAGTGATCTGGGGGGGGATTTTCCATTAATTTTTTTATCCTCACCCACTCTAACTTACTAGAGTTTAATATCTTGGTTCATAAGGGAAGAAATGTGGAGGGGAAAAAACCCAAAACTTTGAAATATAGGTCAAAAAGTGATTTTGAAATATTTAACCAACAGTTAATAGAGATATGGTACTTTTCAATTTTAAGGCTGCTCTCGCTCTCCTCATTTTTTCACCCAGGGGAATTTGGATTAATGAAATTTCTGTATTGCTTTATCATGTTTTGCATTTCTTTGAATTCCAGGGTGGCAAAGGTTTGAAGGGTTTATTTAAAAATACGATAAATGAGCAGGGAGATAATTGTACATTTTAAATATTGATTTACTCTATACTTATCTGTGAGAAACGTGGCTTTTTAGTTGCAAGATCCTGAATGCTTCGAATGGTTTTAAAATTCTGGATAGCTTTTATTAAGAAGCAAGTATTTACAACTGGCATTTTATGCAAAAAATATAGATTGTGCATTTATATATACACACACACACTCATATACACAGAGCGTGCACGCAGACGCACAAAGGTGCGTGAGGATGTGTGTGTAAGTCGGCAAACTTTAAAAATGGAAATATTTAAATATTGTGCTGGCATTCTTTCAGGTAACTTAAGATTATAGAACCATGTTAACACTACCGTTTGATGAGTCTGTTGTAATGCCAGAATCCCAGATGTGCAGAAAGTTTTCCAGAGAAAGTGATGACCAAAAGCAAATGAAGAACCCAGAAAGCTTTTCGAAGCAGATCGTGCTCCGGGGAAAGAATATTAAAAGATCTCCTGGAGAAGACACGGAAAAAGAGGAGGAGGAGGAAGAGAGAGAAGAGGAGGATGAGAATGGCTTGCCTAGGCGAAGGGGCCTTCGGAAAAAAAAGACGAGCAAGATAAGGATGGAAAGGATCAAATTCAGGCGACAAGAAGCCAACGCCAGAGAGAGGAACCGGATGCACGGCCTTAACGACGCCCTGGACAATTTAAGGAAAGTGGTCCCTTGTTATTCTAAAACACAAAAACTGTCCAAAATAGAAACTCTAAGACTAGCCAAGAACTACATTTGGGCTCTTTCTGAAATCCTGCGAATTGGCAAGAGACCCGACCTGCTCACCTTCGTCCAAAACTTGTGCAAGGGTCTGTCCCAGCCAACTACAAACTTGGTGGCGGGATGCCTGCAGCTGAATGCCAGAAGTTTCCTGATGGGCCAAGCGGGCGAAGGTGCCCATCACACCCGCTCGCCCTACTCCACCTTCTACCCCCCCTACCACAGCCCCGAGCTCGGCACCCCCCCGGGGCACGGGACTCTCGACAACTCCAAGTCCATGAAACCTTACAATTACTGCAGCGCTTACGAGTCCTTCTATGAAAGCACTTCCCCCGAGTGCGCCAGCCCACAGTTTGAAGGTCCCTTAAGTCCTCCCGCAATTAACTATAATGGGATATTTTCCCTGAAGCAAGAAGAAAGCTTGGACTATGGCAAAAATTACAATTACGGCATGCATTACTGTGCAGTGCCACCCAGGGGTCCCCTTGGGCAGAGCTCTATGTTCAGGTTGCCTACAGAGAGCCACTTCCCTTACGACTTACATCTGCGCAGCCAGTCTCTCACCATGCAAGATGAATTAAATGCAGTTTTTCATAATTAATGAGGAAAATGAAAATAAACAGTGGTCATTCACCTCCCCGTCTAATTAAGAGCAAGCAGATGCTTGGGCACTGCGTAATTGGCACAACTCTATTTAACGTGTTTACTAGTTCCTAAAGTGTGTTTCAACTATTGTGGGGATTTTCTATGTATTAATAAATCCTTTTTCCGATAAGTATTTTTCCTTTTGTTTTTTTGTCTGTAAACACTGTGAGATTCTGTTTCCTCTCAGAGGTTATTTCCCCCCTCCTTTATTTTTTTTTTCTTTTTTTTCTTTTTATTTCCCCATTTGCTTGATTCCGTTGAGCAGTGTGTCTGAACAATATCGCTGAAATAAAAGCATACACACTGTGTAAAGTCAATGTCTATTTTGATTGTACAGTAATTATACAAATGCATGTTATTGAAACCAGATTAATAAAAATTATGTATTTATAATTGGTAGAAAATATATATTATGTATTTGAGGAGAACTGGATTAAAAATATTGAGAACTTTAAAGAAATTATCTCAGAACTGAGATGGGCTTGCAATATGCAGAGGTGAGAGTGCAGCAATATTGAAAGCTATGCAAAAAAAAAAAAAAGGCAAACAGAAAAACAAAACAGTTTTTTGGGTTGTTGTTTTGGAGTAAGCTAAGGAAAGCCAGTGATTGTCACTGACATTATTCAGCCTGACCTTTAGAGTGTTGCTGGCAGGGGCCACACGCTAATATTTTAGAAGATGTTGTCGAAATTTTGCCTCAGTTATTTTGACCATATATTATCAGCACTTTTTTTTTGTATTATTCTGACTTCAGATGTAAAGGTTTGTTATAACAATGTATAACTGTGGTTTCTCACTACGTACTTTAAATGCAATTAAACATAGATGTTTCCACTTTTAAAATACATCTATTAGCTGTGATACTGTATTTTGCCTGATACTTATTCTTTCACAGTATACAGCTGCCTTTGGTCCTGCCTACCCAGCTTCCTTCCCCGCACCCCCGTAGCGCTTGAGCCTGGGGATGGAAATCATGAGTTACCAGGGCAAACCTCGCACTATTTTCAGAAGGACGTATTAGCGACGCAGCAACAGCAGACCCAAAATATCACAGAAACAGCTGTGAGCTAAACGAAACACAGGTTAGAGGAAGAAGGTAACTTTATAGCTCAACGAAACGCTGAATTTTGTAGGGGAAAGGGCCCCGAGCAGACACGCAGACCACCAGCTGCCCCTCCAGCTCTGGCTCGTGGAAGGGCGCAGGAGCATGGGAAGCGTAAAAACTGCGGAGAGAAAGACTCCTTGAGCATTGCTAAACTTAGTCTTGGCTAATAAATGACACCAGTAAACTACAGATGCATCTGCAACCCGCATGAGTTTAGCGGCTATAAGGGTCTGCATGGCCCCTCGCACCTTAACAGAGCTGAGCTCTGCTGAGCCACGGTCGTTTTCTAATGGCTCAGAGCTATTCCTCAATAAGCTACGAAACGAAGGAAGGGTTGAGCTAAAAGCCAACAGCCTTTAAACCTGTGAGTGAGCAAGACCTCTTGATTTTGAGGGATAAATAGCAGCTATCTCACAAACTTTCAACCTGAAGTACCAAAATGCTTCCCTGCTCATTTACAGCATAGCATTTTTTAAAAACAAAACAAAACAAACTAAAAAACCTATATAAAAAAGTGCAAATTCCACCTGCAAATGAGAGACCTCTGGCTGAATCACAGTCTGGGTCGCAGTTTGTTAATGACACATCAAGCTCAGACCCTCACTTGAGTATGCAGCTTGACAAAGAGGGGACGGGCCAATTTTTCCTGATAATTTGCCTAATTTCACAAGCGGGACTTATTGTAAACAGTCTGCCCCATCAAGCATTGCAGCTCCTTCAGAACAACAGCAGCCTGACATTCATCTCTTCTAAACAAGACCAAGCTTCCCCAATTGCTGGAGAGGGGTAACAAGTCCCAAAGTTTGGATCAGGGTCTAAACACTTCCAAGCTGACAGAGGGAGGGGGGCGGACGTGGAGTTTTGGTCAACTGACATCCTCTCTAGACACAAATATCAGGCCCAAAGTAGAGCTTTTTGAAGCAGAGTCTTGAGCCACGGTTCAGGGGGTTTGGCTCAGGATTATCCCACCTTTCATCAGGGTCAGGAACTGCAGAAGGTGCAGGCGGCGGTTTTCTGCCTTGGATGAAAGGTGATGGTGATGACTGACAGCTCAAGAGCATCCCCAGGTGCTTTGCACTGAATATAGGAGAGGTTTGGAGAAAGAGGGTAACATAGATTGCTTTTGCTGCTAGTCAGATTTAGCTGATATTCAGCAAAGCACGGAAAGGTGACAGGAGAGAGCAGAAGGGAGAAGCTGGTCAAGGAGAAGAAAGCACGCGGTCCTGGGCACAGATTTGCATGAAGAGATGTTGAGATATACCAATGTATTACAAGGAGCTATAGGCAAGTGGGCCCAGAAATCAGAGATCCTTTGAAGGGGGGGGCAGATGCCCTCCCACTGAGCAATGGCAACCAACTTCTCTAATCAAGTTTTATAAGAGGAGCCTCAAAGTTAACCGAGCAGCTCCACACAGCATTGCTGCACCGAGGAAGGGTGCGTTTGCATAAGTTAAGAGCAAAGCAAGGATGCAGCTGTAAAGTCCTGCACCAAGGGAAGGAAATACCTGCCACGATGCGGTCAGCAGGCACCCGAGGAGTGTTAAGACTTCAGGCTCTGCAATCTGGGGATCTCCAGCTCTGTGGCCCTATATTAACTTAATAACTCATGGGCCAGTTCCAGTTTCCCCTTCTGGCAGCAGAAGCAAAGGGAAAGGGGTGGGGGGGGGTGGGGGGGGAAATAAAAAATCCTTGCCAGTTTGGATCTTTCTCACTCACTCCATGACAGATGGGGAGGCAATTCACAGCCAGATTCCCCCTCTGGTAGCTCAAGGCGGGCACCACGCTCGCTCAGGGCATCGCAAATTGGAAAGCCAGTCCAGAATAAATAATGGAGCAAGTCACAGGAAAATATTGAAACAACATAAAAAAATCCCGACATTCCCTGTCTAGGAGGGTATGGATTATTTAGAGGTATGGAGGTAGGAGATTCCCTTGAGAGCAGGCTCTCTTGCATACCTTCTCTTTCACACACCTAAAAAACATTTCTCTGCTCCTTTGTCGGTCAGTCACAGAACATAAGGGTTTCCAATGTGATTTATAAAATTTATAAATCTGATGTGCTTTATAAAAGCATAAAAGCATTTGAGGTTGCCTTATTTTAGGGAACAAATTTGAGCATTGAGAAAGTTCTGGTGCTTTAAACTCACAGGAATAAAACCCAGTGGGTTTCCTTACCCATAATCTCCACTTTATAAGGTTTGTCTCCTTTCAACCCCATTCATACAGCAAAACAAAGCTGCTCATTTCTGCCTGCCTTGTTCTCCTCTTAACTGCTCTCACTTCCTTGAGGATAGAAATATGTAAAATAGCAACTGCTCCAGAAAAATTAGGTGAGAAGTTTCTATTCTCCCCTGTCCTCTAGCACAAGAGCAATGAAGCCTTCTGTCAATTTTAGAGGTGGGAACCCCAAAGCTGGCAGAAGAAAAACTATTTCATACGTGGTTTTGTTACACAGTGGAACTCTTTGCCATTTATTATTTCCCAGAGTAACATTTTAGTGTGATTTTTAAAAAACACTGTATGTTTTTACAATATCAGAAATACACCAATTATTTAAGAATGGCTCTACTGGATCAGATTAAACATCCATCTAACCCAATATCCTCTTTCCAACATGAGGGTGTAAAAAAAAAAAAGATGTCCAAGGATGTCAGAACAGGGTAAGGAAAATAAATATTTGTTTTACCAATAAAAATGCAGGAAAAGAAACTAAACGCCGTGTTCCAGGATTTTAGCCAGCCCTGTGGAAGACAGGGATGCACCTGAATCGGAAAAAGCAGTGGGAGGCACGACAGCAAACTGCAGGGTTCGCACCCTTTCCTCTGCCACACTGGGCACACCAGTAATCACGGAGTAGGATGGACTGGGCAGTGCTGGGCTGTACCTCTGAATTCAGTCTCAAAACAAAAAACCCCAAAACCACCACCAACCACCTCATTGGGGGTAAAATTTAAAACCAGTGGCCCCAGTCCCACACTCCTATAAATCCCAGTGCGACGGCAAAGACAGAAGGAGGGGTAACCACTGCTTTGCCAGAGCTCAGAGGAGATCTCAAAGCTCCTCTGCTTCATCGTAGGAATACGCTTATTTTAGGACACATCCCTTTGGGACTGTCTGCATTCTTTCACTTCATAGCTATCTGCACAAAGATTTTTAAAATGTATGGAGATTGCACAGGCACCAACGTGACGGCAGGTTTTTTCTATACTAGCAATTCCCTCTCCCATTTTTACCCCTTCTTTTTCTCTTCTCTTCTCCCCTTTGCCTGTAGGGCTCTCAAATGGCAGCAAATTAAGTGAAATGCCATCAATAAAGATGAATGAAATCCCAGTGAAACACATGGCAGAATCTTTCCTTGCAAAAGCAAATAATATTTGCCTAAATTAAAAAGTAGCTGCATGGTTTTGTTTTTCAGATTGTGAATCTAGCTTAACTCAAGCTTATGGTTATGTTTTATGGTCCGTACCCAAGGTCAAAGTAGTTTTACTCCTGGTACCAAAATCCTACACCTTTTAATGTACAAGTAGCAGAGATGGTACTTCTTCGGGCCGAATTGTCACGAAAGCAGCTCCCCTTATAAAATTTCAGCAATTTCCAAATTACAAGCAAAGACAAACAAAACAAAAAAAACAAAACAAAACAAACCCAAACCAAAAAAACCCCACACACGCCCCTCAATAATCTGGCTGTGGGTCTGACCCAGAGCTGAACCACGGCAGCAGGTTGTGATTTTGCTCTGGAGAGACACAGATCAGCGCGGCGAACAGCTGGCACCGTGCCACCGCAGAATCTCAAGGGCAGACCTGTCGTGTCTCGCTGATACAAATCTAACTACCGTACACGGGGCTGCCATGCAGAATCGCACTCCCAAGCCCTCTCCGCCACACAATCAGACCTGAGCCAGTCATCTCGCAAAATTCTTGCACGTTATGCCAAGAGGATGGCCTATTTTCCTGCAGTTCTCCTCCTTACCCCGGAGGATGTGCAAGAACGAGTTAGGAAAAGGGGAAGGAAAGCCAAATTCACAGGCAAAAGAGCTCCGAGGGGAAAAAAAAAGTTTTAGTTTTTGTTTTTGGTTTTTTTTTAAATGCCAGCATCATGGACTCCCTGTGACTCGCAACTGGCATCACCCACAAAAGGTGTTACAGAGTTGTAAAGAGGTTTCCTTCCCCTTCTCCCCCAAAAGATTGTTTTCTCTTGGCTGTTTTCCTTTGTCATTAGCTCCTTCAACTTCCACATTTATCCCTGTAACTGCGCTACTTGCGCTATTAAATTCTAGGACACCACGTATGTAGAACATACTGTACGCAAACCAGCCAGATCTAGCTGCAGCTGAAACTCTGAACTACTTCAGGAGGTTAATAACAACAACACTGGAACAGCAAAGTTACCTTTATGATTCATCATTTTTTCTAGGATATTCAGTGTATCCCTGTCCCCACCCCAACCTAGTGAACACTGTACTTTTTGATATTCTGTTTTTTTTTTTCTTTTCTGTAGAGCATTACTAAGCTGTTTTGGTTTTTTTTTTCTTATTTTTTTTTTTATTGGAGTTGATTAATATGTGAAACATTATTTTTCAAACTGATTAAATTTCCTAGTCTATAAGTATACACACATATAAAAGGTTATCAATTCTGAAGTGCTTGGACATTCTGTTTGCAAATGAAAATGGTAATAATCAATTGAATTGGAGGTCCTTGTACAGCTAGAGAATCCAGGCTAAATCAGAGATTATAACCTAAATTTTGTAGTCTTGA